AGGAATGCGCCTCCTTCCCTTCCTTTCCCCCCCCTCCTGTCCCCCCCCCCCGGACTCCTGGAAGGTGCCTGTTAAGACACGGCATAATACATTCGAAATTCTTTTCATGTAGAAGTGGTGAGTTAGTGCCTTGTAAATTACTGTAATATTTGCAAGATTTATCATACACGTAATTTGAGGGCTTTTTGACAGACACCCTAAAGTAGTTTGTGTATACTGACTTTTTTATTATATTTAGTACTTTATATAAATTATACATACCTGTATAGAATATCAGTCAATACCAGCGGGATGTAAACTAACGAGAATAATTTTAACAGCATGTAAGCTATAAAATCACATACACGTTGTAAATATAGCTAAATAATCATCACGATTGTAAGAATTGACCAAAAGTTTACCATACTTAATACAGAGATGTTTTACTCTTCTGTTCACCAGCTGTATCTATGAACTCCTTGTTCCTTTCTTTCCCCGTGTATCTTTCTTTGACCGAGCATATCAATTCATAGACTTCTAGGTACTGGAAAATGTTTGATGCATTTATATAGTAAAAATAATGAGCATGTCTGTATATGTGTAAAGTTAATGAGTACTCTCAGTGGAAAATTAATATAGGTGTGTGTTTTTATCTCAGGTTATACTTTGTTGCCTCCTTTCGCGTCACTAAGAAAACACTCAAACTTGCTTGTGGTCTGTGAAAAATCAGGGACAGAAACATGGCAAAAGCAAAATATTTCACTCCATATTTTAAGTAGATCAAAAGGAAAAAGCAAAATAGAAATGAATAATCTGAGGTATGTTGTACATATTTATTTATTTGTTTATTCATCACGTTTATCTAGCTGCCCATCTCAGAACACGTACAATGAAAACACATCATAAAAACTAACCATTAAAAATGTTCTACAGTCAAAAACACCGGTCAGACTTACTAGTGACAGAGGAGCAGAGAGCTATGTTGTAGGTGTAAATGTAAATCAGATTCTGTTGTGAGAAATGTTAGAAAATACTTCAGTTTTATGAGTAACAAAACATTTTCACATCTTTCCTTGGCATGGTTTTTGTAGGAGTAAAATAGATATTATTGGTTTTTGATATTATTAAATGGTTGCTGTGCAGAGCATTTATAAGATGTGAGTAAACGGAAGAATCCAACTCTACATTCAGAGATGTATTTCTTAAATTTGAAATTGCTTATCATCAAATCATAATCTGCACAGCAATAGATATTTTGAAATCTGCTCCAGAGCGATACTCCGGTGAACCGACGGTTCCTTTGGAACATTGGCTAGATGTGCAGGTGTGTGCAGTCGGAGCTGGTGGGGCCGTCCTTCAGGGAGCCTTGCTGTTGTGGGGGGGAGGAGGGGGCTGCTGCAGGCAGGCTCCTCGCAATCTTAAGGGTCACAAGTGGCTGGATGGAGAAGCTTGGCCCTCGCTACCATCCCCAGCATCACGTGGTGGCCGAGCAATATCAAGTGGTGCAAGAACAGGAAGGGACTGGATTTCAGGCCTCCTCCCACTTCACAGAATTGGGGCCCCAGCACCGTGTAGGCCGAGCGCATCATCTTCTTGTCCTCCCTGCAGTGTGGGGTTGTGGCCAGTCAACAGCTAATGCAAAGTGTACATCTTTCGTAGATTGTCATGTGTTGCTCTGTGTCTGGACCTTGTTAAAAGATGTGCGGTTCTTTATCGGGAGCTCCCGTCCTTCCATGAAATCACAGACCCCATCCGGATGCTCCTTTCCTCATTCATACCTCGTTCAGTCAAGTATCCTGTACAGCTTCAGGTAAGGGCCTTCCTCCTCCTCCTCCTCCT